AGAATTGTAACGTTTTGAAACGTTACAGGTAAATAAACCTTTTCTGTGTTTTAAAAAGAACTGAAAGATGGAATTTGAAACTTAACACAGCAACACACCAAAGACGATGTATCTCATCTATTTTATTGTATTGCTGTCTTTTTAACTGCTTCTTAGTTAAAGAGACTTCACTACGAATGGCCGTTTCCGTAGCTTCCTCTAGAACTGGAACACTGACTCACCGTGAAGTGAGTTCTGTTTTTATATTCCCATTAATTTCTTAACAAATCAGAGCGTGCCATGTTAAGGGATATTACCAAGAATCTCAGAAACACACCTTCTTTCAGATACAGAGGTTCTGATCTGTGGGTAAGAAAATATCTGTGTGTCACACGTTTGACTTAACTTTAATTAACTTGGAAAAAAAACATGTTTCATCTTTTTACATTTCTATTGTTATTTATTTTTATATACAAGCAAAGAAATTGAGAATTTTTATTTTGATGCCCGTTTTATTGCGTTCTGTTCTTTAATGCTTGAAGATTTTGGTTTAAAACAAACCTTGCATTAATCCAAAACTGTTGTACAATATTTGATTACATTCAGCTTTTGCTAGAAAATCATTAAATAAAAAAATAACCTACACTTATTTTTAAATCTCATTTGAAAGAACCAAGGAACATTAAAGATTAACAAAAACAGTGATTCCTTTATATTGTGATATTGATCTTGACCATTTTTTTCCATATCGCCCAGCCCTAATTCCAAACAAACATTTAACCCTCCCACTGTCCTAATGGGTGTAACCCCGTAAGGAAAGTTGACCGTTGAGCTGGGTTGATGGTTTATTTCTTGGGTCCATGTGGCAGGGGTGAGGAGTGAGCACCACCTCACCCCTGCCACGTGGACCTCAAGGGATAAACTATCAATCCTGCTCCATGGTGAACTTTACTCGCAGGGTCACCCATAAAGACAGTGGGAGGGTTGTGCAACTTTGAAATTATGGTTTTGGAAGTCCGAACTTCTACAAGGAATATCTGATGTTGACATACATAAAAATGTTAGTTCTGTATCAGCCAGAGTCTGTATCAGCAGGTCAGACCTGTACAAGACTTGGGAATTGGTATCAGCACACTAAACCAAACAGATGTACATTTCTACTGTCTTTAATGTGTACATGTTTTTTTCCTCAAATAACTCTTACTACCCTAACCCACAACACACTATCTGTTGGAGGGAAATGACCCTGTCGTCTCACAATTTCTTTCATGATCCGATCACGTTAATACTTCCATTTTTTTAGACAAATGAGAAGCTGTATAAAAACATTTCACTACAACTTACTGGGAATGCAGATTATGTCAGAAACATTCACTCTGACTCATCAATTACTGCGCTGTAAAACTTGTCACCTGTATGTATCAGCTTCCTCAAATAACAACAGGGTCACTTTGTCTCAAGAGGCCGGCATTATCTCACCCACTACAGCCAATCATTCCCAAGAGGCATCACACTGACAGATCTATTACCAAATCAAGGCAACCCGAACACATTAATCACACTGCCCCCATATAGAGTTGTAATCAGATCCCTGCTAGCATTGGACCATTGAAACGGTGTGTGTGTGTGTGTGTGTGTGTGTGTGTGTGTGTGTGTGTGTGTGTGTGTGTGTGTGTGTGTGTGTGTGTGTGTTCGATCGATAGTAATGTGGATGAGAACTGCGGAGCTGCATATCAGACATGGGTTCAAAGGTCACTCCTTTGCCAAGCTTCACTGCCATACGCTTGTCTGGTGTTTCATTTTACCCGACATGAAGCATTGCTGGTGTTTCCTTGTAATAATGTGTATGTGTAAAATACCACAGTGTTTTTGTCCTCTTCGTTAAGTCTATGGTTACACAGCCAGATGGGAGGATAAAGAAATGGAAATGCAGGGAAACAATGATGCATCAGATTTCAATATGCATTTAGATTTTGTGTAGTGATTTATCACTGTGGAAGAAATCTATAAGAGCTGAATTTCATTTTCATAAATCTCAGTGGATGCTTTACTATGGTGCATCTCTGCAGCCCCCTCTGTTCCCTGCCTTTAGAAATTAGTCATGATAAGAGGAGCACACTTCAGCTATAAAACCTTGCCGGCTGCAGCTCTCTTAAATAATCTGGACAGAGATAAAGAGCTTCACATATCACTTGGAACAAAAGCAGAGAATTCTTGAGAAAACCTGACAAAGGAAAAATAATTACCAAAAATATCTGAAAATTTTTTAAACCCTAATGAATAATTAACCTTGCAAAGTGAGATAAAGCTAATTTATACCAACAATTATGACTTTAGCAACAAATAAAGTTAAAACAGGTACTTTAAACTGAATTTAGGAACATAAAATGTACAAATCAGGATTACACATATAGTGCCAAACATTATCACCAATTAGTACAAAAATGTATTTAAGATCCATTATTGGTCATTTAAAAAATGATGTTTAAATGTAGAAATTGGAAGGTTTTTTGCTGATGACGTCATAAACTCAAATGATGTCATTCTGACTGTCATGAATAGTTAGAAAAATGCTAAACTAATACAAACACCCATATACTCTCAGCAGCCACTTTATTAGACACTCCTGATGACACTGATAGCTAATCGCCCAATCACATGGCAGCGACTCAATGTATTTAAGCATAGAGGTGGTTAAGATGAATTGCTCAAGTTCAAGCTGAGCGTCTAAATAAGGAAAACGTGACATTTAAATACCTTTGATATTGATTTGGTTGTTGGCATACTTTAGAAACTGTTGATCTACCGGGATTTTCACCCACAACTTCTAGTGTTTACAGCAAATGGCCAAAAAGAAAGAAAATATTGTGATGGCAGAAGTCGTGTGGGTAGAAATTCCTTGTTGAGATCAGAGCAGAATTGGCAAATTGGTTTGAGACGATAGAAAGAAGCTCAAATCCAGCTTAGGTCTGTAGCATCTCTGAACATGTTGAACCTTGAAGCAGATGAACAACAGAAGCAGAAGATCACACCTATCTCTCCTATCAGCTACAGGAAAGTGAAATGAAAATCCACACAGGGTCATCTGATCTGGAATTCTTCTCTCCCACTTTGGACCCCTTAGCACCGACTGATCCTGGTTTAAAAAGCCTGACGGAGTTTTGTTGCTGACCACGTCCATCTCTTTATGACCACAATGGACCCATCTTCTGATGGCTACTTCCAGCAGAATAATGTATAGTGTCAACTGGACTCCAACAGCCTCCAGAGCCACCAGATCTCAATCCAGTCCAGAACCTTTGGGATGTGGTAGAATGGGAGGGCCACATCATGGATGTGCAGCCGACACATCTCAAACAGCTGTTTGATACCATCAAGTCAAAATGGACCAGAATCTCAGAAAAAGTTCCACAACCATTCCTGAAGCTAAAACCGTAACTGTGTCCCACCCAGGTGTGTCTAACAAAGTGGCCAGTGCAGGGTTTAACATATGCAGCACATGGGCTTCGTCAATAACAGCAAACATACACTGTGCGGTTTGTGGCCGCGTTCCAAAAGGTGTCCATTATTCACCAGATCCTGCTGACAGCAAGGAAACGATCACCTGATGTCCAGCCACCTGCCATCTGTCTGCTGAAGAATACCATACGTCTGCTAGCTGACAAAACAGGGACAACATGATGCTCTTGTACATCTGCACCACTTTCCCCAAAAGGTTACTCCTGAAAAAATCCAGTAGGAGTACCTGCCTATTTGCCCTGGGTGGGTGATGCTTTTTATCCTTAGTGCTGGGTTTAGGAAGGTTAAGAGTTAAATACACACATTTGTCTTTAGTAATACATTTAGGCTTTTATAGGCTGAAGGTTGTATAGCTGTAAATAATCTGCAGCTAAATCAGATTACAAACGGTTTTTAATTAATTATTGAGACAATGATTATATCTACAGTCTGGCCTTCTTTGTTGCAAATTGGATAATAATTGTGTTGCAGCATATTCCACACTATTTTCCTGCATTGGCCGATATGTTGCATCATGCATGCATACAACTAATGCAGTGATCACTGAGCGATCAGCAAACCTCATTTTAATCAGCAGGTGATCAACAGACTTCTGCAGAGCCTGATGTGCTGCTGAACAGGTGAATTGAATGGATTAGGGAAACAACTAAAAAATGCAGGATACTGGCCCTCAGGGAATTGGGGAGTAGGAGATCACTGGAATAATTTAATAATTTAAATCCAACATCAAATAGCAAATTAAGATGTGCCTACAAAACAAATGTGACATGCTTGTTTATTTTCTCTTAAGGGCTATTTGATTTTTGCCGTTTCCCAGTCCTCACTCAAGCTCAAACCAGCAGTGTGGATGGACACACAGTGGCTTATTGCAGTGATAATAGATGATAGTAGAGGAGATCAGAGGAGAAACCCATGCAACTGTTTTAAATTAAATATTTCACTCTGAAAATGTCATAAAAGCGATTAAAATTCAGCTTTTGGGTGCATTTTGAGAGGCATCCGCTGCCCTGCACGACTATGAGGCGCTGCTTGAGAAGACATGGCCAGGCTCTGGTGTTGGGGGGCGGGGAGACGGGCCACATTTTTTTCCCCTATTCTGCTGGACTGAAAACACGTTTTGCTCGGCAACGGAGGCGAAACGTTTATACAAATCTCAGCTGTTAAATTGGAGGGGGGAGGCCACCTGCGCAGCGCAGATGAAATCCTCATGAATGATTTCTGTTGTGAGCGCAAAAGGCAGCTCCATTAGGTGGTCAGCGTGTTGCTGGCATAAAGACAGGTGTCTGTCAAAATACCGACAAGCTGCTGCTGATCTTCAACAATGATCCCGGTTTTTAACGCGGCTGAAGAGAAATCCATTCATCCATCACGCCTCTGAATCTAGCAGAACAGCTCAGACTTGTGTGTCTTGATTAAAGGTCCGAACTTGCCTCGGCAACAGACAATAGCTGCTCAGATTATTTAGTCTTTGCCTTCAGCAGCGGCTGCAAGCGGACACTTACCGCGATGTGGTGGAGGAATATGCCTGGGAAAAGGCGACTCCATTAAACGCGAAGGAGGAATTAAAGGAACAGCAGCCTCCCACTACGCTACTACTACTACTCCATCGGCTCGGAGAAGCTTCGGCTGTGATGTGGAGGATCACGCAGCGCGCGTGAGCCCTGCAAGGATGGATGATGCTGTCTTCTCGGGTGGAGAAGGGAGGGGGCGGGGACAAGCGGCTTCAGTGGAGCGTGTTTTAATTCTGTAGAGACCTGTGTGTTACAAGGAGGGAGTCTGTCTGACCCCCGTTGAACTGGAGCTCCTGGTTCTTGTAAAGAAATGAATGAATAAATAAAAAAGCACAATTGTTTCTCCGTGAAAGGCAGAATCTTTAACTGCTTGATATGCACGAGGCGTCACTGAGGTGGATGGTCGGCTGAGGAGTGGCTGCTTCTGCTGCTGATTGGCTATTGAAACACCCCAGACAATAATGCTGTGCAGAATTGGATCCAGGCTTTTCCACAGGTGTGAATCATTCCAAATTGATTAATTACTTGTTCAATTTTTATGATTCCAATAATTTCTTGTTTGATCATCATCTATATGCTTTTATTTATTTATTTATTTATTTATTTATTTATTTCAAAGAGCATTAGTTTGAGCATCCATTACATGTTGTGTTTTAATATTTTACTCATATACATTTTTTGTTTTGATCACAAGTTTATTTTGTTGCATTTTTATTTTTTGCGTCACTGTTACACATTTTATTTTTTTTTTTTCAGTTGTATCACACTTAAATGCCACGCCCAGGCTGCCAGGCCTACAGAATTTATGAATCACTTCAATATGTGAATGACTGACATGAAGTAGGTAAAAAGATTTCAAAAGTAATACATCATACCTTGTTCAAAAGAAAGTCGAGACAAATAATAATAATAATAATAATAATAATAATAATAATAATAATAATAATAATAATAATAATAACCCAGACATGGCATCCAAAGCACTGCAGGTCTCAGTCGGTTAAGATCAGGGGTTAGCATCCAAGGTAGAGGTCCAAGACCAAGACGTCAGCTACCAAAAAGAAGAAAAGATGTTTTGAAAAGAATAGTAGGCTATTAAAAATGTTGCTTTTCCTCCAAATCAATGATGTGATTTTGATTGCAAAAGTAGACGGGGCACAAATGGCTTAAGCGAGCATCAGTGATGCAAACCTATGTTTAAAATGTTTGACCTCATTCACATAAAGTTGTACTTCAGTTGAACAGAAATACGTAGAAATCATGAATGGATCAAAAGTGCTTTGATATTTACCTTAACATGTGACTGTTTACATTTAAATTATGTTTACTTTGTATTTCAGATTATATTTTTGATTTGTCTCATTACCATGTTTACATTTCTAATTTAACATTTTTAGCTGTAAGCCCTCATCATCCCAATTATAACCAATAAAGGCTGAAATATCTGGCTGTGCATGATGTGATGAATTTATCTCATGTATCAGTTTCACCTTTTAAGTGAAATTACTGACATAAATTAACTGTTGCATCATATTCTAATTCTTCAACTTTCACCTGTATAGTATTATTTTTAACAAGTGCAAAAAAAAACACATGTCAAATTATTATTTGAAACAAACATGGAGAAACAAATGAAAACTTCACTGTCCATCTTTGTGCTGCTCTCCTCCAGAAACTGCAGAATGGAAATCTCTTGGCTATTTTGAGGTCAGCCTTCACAGATAACAGAGTGGAGCAGCAGCCTGGGAAGAAACGGTTAAAAAAAACTGCCTGCAAAGCATTCTGGTTTATTCAGGATTCTCCCTTTTTTAGAAAGAGAGAGAGAAAAACAGCTGTAGCTTTACTTGACATGTTGTTAAATTACAAGATTTTACTCTCTTCCCAGAGGCAAATCACATCTTCAAGCAGGGTAACCCATATAAGAAACATGTAAGAATGGCATGTAAACATAGCAGAATGTATTGTATTGAGATTTTTCATGCACGGACCTTATCTTCAAATTTTAGGATCTCCTTTTCCGCATATAGAAACAACCATAATCATAATTTATCTGTGATTATTATCACTGGCATTAAAAGAATAAAACAACATAAAAAGTAAAAATAGTGTTTAAAAAATTAATAAAGAATAGAAAATGTTAAATTAAACCACTTTAAGAAACATTTTATTGCTTTTCTGAAAGATTAGAATAACATAGATTGACAAATGTGAAAACAAAAATAGTGTTTAGCCAAAAAAAGATGATAAATAAATCTTTAAAACTGAGCAACATTTTTGTTGCATGAGTAATCATTAGCTAACATGATGTTGGCCATTCATGACTCAGCTATTTTACTCATGCAGCTACATTCTGTTGTAGTTGTGTCATGCTCAATAATATCTATGATGTAATGCATCAATAAATAGCTTTCTATAAGGTTACAACTACATTATAAAAAAAGATGCATTTGAGTAAAAGTATGATTATGATAAAAAGTGATGCTATTATTAAAATACTTCCTCTAACAATTAGAAATGAGGACAAAAATCAAGCTGGTAATAATAATTCAAAAATCTTTTATTTGGAAATTGTTGAGGCTTTTTTATGTTGTATTACTAAAACACATTACAATTTCTCACTCAAGAAAGTGTTTTTATTTATTGTAGTGTGGATCTAATTTCCCTCTGGGACAAATAAAGCTTTTCTGATTTCTTTCTGATTTCTGATGCTGTGGAAATCAAGGCAAGGCATGGCAGCTTTATTTGTATAACACATTTCAAATACAGAGGCAATACAATGTGCTTTCCATTAGCAAGAATAGCATGAACATTAAGATAAATGTGACAGCAAAATTTAATCATGCATTAATTTATTTAAATTAAATAAATACACAAATTAATTTCAGATTTAAGATAAAAAACACTAAGTTTAAAGGTGAGCAGTTACAGCGCAGAAGGTGCAGCATAAGAATTCGATCACAGACTGATGAATACATAAAATCTATTGGAATTACCGGTAGATGGAAAACACTTCATGTGCTTGTTTGTGCAGATTAAAAAAAAAAAAAAGTCGTACAAACCAAATCAGAAACATACTAGTTTTCATGCTAGTCTTTAGTTTTACAGGTGGGGCAAATTTTGGCCATAAAGATTTAAAACCTCAATCATGATTTACTTTATTTTGTCAGTGTATTTTTTAATTAACTTACTAAATACAAAGTTTTCTTCATAGTGAATGTTCTAGAGCAATTTGGGAAGAAACTAATTATTGGATTGCACACTAATGCAAAAAATGTTAGTTTAATCAAACTTCTCATATTGAAGTTTAATCTGTTCAGACATCTTGATTTAATGAAGATACCATAAACCTCTAATGCCCTGACGGCACTCTGAATGCACTGCAGCCAAAACTGGGACAGACACTCTGAAGTGAAATCAACGCGCCCCTTTCTGTTTTAGGAAATCACAAAAGAAACTCTGGGGTATGTTCAGTGATCTAGATTCAGCGCTACACGTCATGTCCTGGCATCGCCTCTTTCAATCAAGAGCTTTTTGGGCCTCAGTCCTTGCCCCTCCTTTTTCTTTCATCTGCTTGCTTTGGTCAATTTAAACTAACTGAGCAGAAAAGCTGAAATAGCAGGGAAGTTTCTGGTCAGCACAAATAATTATCAAACAAGATTTGAAACGGTGATGGATATTTTTTGTGCTAAATTTGGAGAGTGTTTTGGAACAGTGATAGCCTAAAGGGAGGTAAGCACACATGTGATCTGGAGCTTTAGGAGGTATACATTTCTAGATTAGTTTTAAAAAAGTATTTGCTCATGATGGGGAACAGAGAAATAAAAACGTTCTTTTAATTCAGTTCTGTTTTTATGAGCTTTACTACTTGCTATATAAAAACAAATACATTTGCAATGCAATCAGCATCTGTGGCTATTTGATTTTAAATGCAAGGCATTGTAAGACATTGATCTGCACAGTTCATGAGTTCATCAGGGCATTCTTCCAATCACTGATGTATACTAAAGGTGATGGCACTTGGCAGGTCTCATTTTTACCATTTTGGCGTGGCTGTTCTATTTGTAACCTTTATTTTGTCAATAGATTTGTTTTTGTGTGCAAAGATTGGTGCTTTTAAATGCTATAAACTGGAATCACATGCCAGAACAATGCACAAGTAGGATTACCTCTCTTGAAGAAATGCACATTGCCGGAAGCCTTTTATGCCAGACTTGTAAAGGGAACATATTATGCAAATCTAACCTTTATGTCATTTTTGTGATGCCATGTGGGTCTTGTGCTGTCTTTAAAAACACTCCAAAGTCCAAATGAAATCCATCCATCTGTTTTCCATCAGTGTTTCATATTTAGGAATTGTGCTCAGTACAAGCCGTTTCCAACAGTCCCCATTTGTGATGTCACAATTAAGGAAATTAACATTGAACCTCCTCTCATCAAAACTAAAGGAGCAGCGGCACTACTCCGAGCCCCTTCCAGATATGGAAGCATCTCCGCTTGTGGTAGAGCGGAGAATGGGAGGGCGTGGCCAGAAAGAGCCGTAAAATTGCTCATTCTGGAAGGTACTGAAATGGTCAACAATAAAATTGTTGAAATTCCTTTAAGTGAGAGACATTTTGTGCAAAGAACTTTAGAAAATATATTTTCTATAGACCATAGGACCATTGTAACTTACAAAAATAAAATTCTTAATACGTCTCCTTTCAGCTAAGATAATCTGGTATTGAGTCACGATGGAGAGTCGTACATGATTTGGTCAATTTGATTTGATGCAACATCTCAAAAACCTCACACAAGTTGTAAGGGCACCGATTAGGACTTGGACAAGTTGTATGTGCATCTATTTTTTTTCTTTCTTTGCATTAAAATCCAAGAGATCAGATTAAATATTTTGCCAACAGAAGGGTTCCAATAATTTTGAAGAAAACACCCAAAGGATCAGTTAGAACACAAAGTATGTGTTGTGAACAGCACCTAAGCTACAGTCACACTGAAAATAAGCTCAGCATCTGTAAAAGTGATGGAGACAGCATGCCGATTAGCTGTGGTGGTCCTCTCAACAGAATTCAAAATTCAGCAGCTTGCTATCACTAACTAGCATTGCTGACATGTGTCCACTCAGCTGAGACCTGAGAGACCCTAACACTTTAGATATTGCAGAAGAAAATGAGGATAAACATTTTTCCACCATTTATTTTAAAGATTGCAAGAATCTTTTGA